TGTGTTGAACCTTTGTGATCAGGAACAGATTATAGAAAAAGGCACATTGGTTGGTACTAGTGAGGAAGTGGATTGGTTGCGTCGGTGCGAATATCTATCGACTGGGACCCCTAGCAAGGATGGACAAACGAGAGTGACCACACTTTTAGAAGACTGTCGCAGCGTTCTCTCCCCGAATGAAATGGTCAAGGGGAAGAAGTTGTTACTCAAGTACGCCAATGTTTTCTCGTCAAACGAAGCTGACATAGGAAAGACTGGCTTAGTTCAACACAAAATAAACACAGGACAAGAATTGCCTATTCGTCAGCGGCCAAGAAGATTGCCTGTAGCACGTGAAAAGGAAGTGGAAACCATGATTGAGGGAATGGTGAAGGATGGTGTTATTGAACCTTCATCTAGTCCATGGTGTTCACCTGTGGTGCTGGTAAAGAAGAAGGACGGCAGCATGCGGTTTTGTGTTGACTACCGCCGCCTGAACGACGTTACGAAGAAGGACAGCTATCCCTTGCCTAGAATTGATGACACGCTGGACATGCTCACAGGCGTAAAGTGGTTTAGTACGCTGGACCTGAAAAGTGGCTACTGGCAGGTTGAAATTGACCCTAAGGACAAGGAGAAAACTGCATTCTCCACAGTAAAGAGTCTATGGCAATTTAAAGTCATGCCGTTTGGATTGTGGAATGCTCCAGCAACGTTTGAAAGATTGATGGAGCTTGTACTTACCGGGCTTATTGGAGATGCCTGTCTGGTCTATTTGGATGACATCATCATCGTAGGCCGTACGTTTGGGGAACACCTTCAAAACCTGGAACGCGTGCTCATGAAGATCCAGAGTGCCAACCTCAAGTTGAGTCCGAAGAAGTGCTCACTATTCAAACGGCAAGTTAGTTTTTTGGAGTATGTAGTGTCGGAAGAAGGTATCCGCAAGGATCCAGAGAAAATTGCTGCTGTCAAGGAGTGGCCGGTCCCAAAAGACAAGACACAGGTTAGAGCATTTTTGGGTTTGTGCTCTTATTATCGGCGATTTGTGAAGAACTTTGCAGATATAGCCAAACCTCTGCACAAGCTAACCGAGGAGAAGCGACATTTCTGCTGGGATGAAAGTTGCGATATTGCATTCCAGGAGCTCAAGAACCGTCTGTGCAAAACACCTATTTTGGGGTACCCTGATGCGGGCAAGGAATTCATAGTTGACACAGACGCAAGTGATATAGGACTTGGCGGTGTGTTGTCTCAACGGAATGGTGATCAAGAGATTGTGATAGCGTACTTCAGCAAGTCGTTGTCAAAGCCGGAAAGGAACTATTGTGTCACAAGACGGGAATTGCTTGCTGTGGTAAAGTCCTTGCAGCATTTTAGCAAATATCTTCTAGGGTAGAAATTCCACTTACGAACTGACCATGCTGCACTGAAATGGCTATTGCAGTTCAAAAATCCGGAAGGACAAGTTGCGAGATGGATTGAACTACTGCAGGAATACGACTTTGTTATCGAACATCGCATCGGGAAATCTCATGGCAATGCAGATGCATTGTCAAGAAGACCTTGCCCTGAAGATTGCAAGCATTGTACTAGGCAAGAGGGTAAAGAAGTGGTATTTGCGAGGATTTTTTTTTTATAGGAGAGGGGGCAAACGAGCATGCGGCTCACCTGATGGTAAGTGACTGCCGACGCCCATGAACAACTGCAACACCAGGAGAATCGCAGATGCGTTGCCGGCCTTTTAAAAAGGAGTACGCTCTTTTCTTGAAGGACCCTATGTCGTATCGGTCCGGAAAAATCGCTGATGGTAATCGATTCCACAAGGAGGTCGTGCGAGGAAGAAAACATCTTCTAAATCGCACAGTGGTGGACCGCCAATCATCCAGATGGTGTGGATGGTATCGGGAGTTCTGCCGCGATGTGCGTTCGTGAAACTTGGCGGCTGGGATTAATCCGAACAATTCCTCAAAGCACTCTCCATGGTAGATGCGAAAGAAAATGCAAAGGGATGCAACATCTCTTCGTAGTGCTAATGAATCGAGCCGATCCGAAAGGGCTCGGTCGTCGACAATTCGAGCCGCTCTGCGTTGGATGCGGTCAAGTGGAAGGAGCTGGCACTGGGGAGCCCCTGCCCAGAGATGGGAACAGTATTCCATGTGAGGCCGAACTTGCGCCTTGTAAAGTAGCAGGCGGTGTGCCGGCATGAAATACTGTCCCGCTCTGCTGAGCACGCCAAGCTTTTTAGAGGCCAATTTGGCCTTCCCTTCCAAGTGACCACGAAACTGCACGTCACTCGATATGTCGACTCCGAGGATACCGATACTGGCTGAGGCAAGAAGGGGAGTGCCTTGAAACTGAGGAGATACGACAAAGGGGTTCTTTTTAGCGGTAAACGCGCAAACTTGTGTCTTCTGAGGATTAAATTGGACTAGATTTAGTCGCCCCCAAATTCGAGACTTTGTTCAGCAAAGACTCGACTTCAGACACAAGTTTGTTCTGGTACCCAGCGACGTTTTCCCGAGAAATATTGGCACGGCCGGTGTATAGAGCATCACCAGTGCTGTCATCCGCATAGCAATGAATGTTACCAGTTAGCAACATATCATTGATATGCAGAAGAAACAGCGTTGGTGATAGCACACAGCCTTGTGGAACACCAGCGTTAATAGGCTTGTAGTCAGAGCATGCACCGTCTACAACGACCTTGATGCTCCGATCTGCAAGGAAGCTGGTGATCCAATTGCACAATTTCTCGGGAAGCCATAGGAAGGGAGCTTCGAAAGAAGCGCTTTGTGCCAAACCCGATCGAAGGCCTTCGCAATGTCCAGACTAACGGCCAACGCCTCCCCCTTGGACTCTACTGCCTCCGCCCATCTATGGTCAGGTAGACCAGAAGATCACCAGCTGATCGACCCCGACGAAAACCGTATTGGCGGTCACTAATCAGCTGGTGATCCACAAGGTACCGGATGAGCTGGCAGTTAATAATGGATTCCATTATTTTGGAGAACAAGGAGGTGATCGCGATAGGCCTATAGTTGGATGGGTCTGAGCGGTCGCCTTTTTTAGGGATCGGGTGGACAAAAGCTGTCTTCCATGAAATCGGGAATACGCCTTGGGAGTAGGAGTACCGGAAAAGACGCGTTAGCACCGGTGCCAACTCCGGAGCACACGTCCTCAGCACAATTGGGGGGATTCCGTCAGGCCCACTCGACTTCTGGATGTCCAGGGAGAGCAGTGCTTTGCGAACTGAGCGCTGTGAGAACAGCACATCCGGCATGGAGCACTCACACCGCGGGATGGTCGGCGGTGTTTTCCCCCCGTCATCAAGAGTCGAGTTGGACGCAAAAAGGGAGCCTAAAAGGTCGGCTTTGTCTTTTGCGTCATGGGCCAGTGAGTCATCCTTCCTGTGCAGAGATGGTAGTGATGGCTTACAGAAATTCCCTTGGACAGCCTTGGCGAGAGACCAGAATGCACGGGTTCCCGAAGGAAGGCGAACTAGTTTCTCGCCAATTCTGCCTATGTGCTCTGACTTTGCCTTGGCAATAACTCTTTTGAAGGACCTGGAGGCGAAGTTATACTTCTTTTTAAGTGTGCTGGAATTTACATCCCGAGTCGCCGAAGCTGCAGCCCAGGCTTGATAACACTCCTGCTTACTGCGTAATGCAGTCTTACAGGAGCGACCAAACCAAGGCTGAGATCTGCCTCCGATGGGTACCACAGATGATGGAATAAATAGTTCCATTCCCTGTAGCACCACATCAGTGACAGAGTCAACAACAGCGCTGGGATCATCCGGCGAGAAGCAAACCCGCCCCTATGGGTAGGATGCAAAGAAGGACCGCATTCCGTCCCAATCCGCCGACCTGTAATGCCAAACACGGCGGCAACCTGCAGAACGCAACCGCGAAGGGAGCGTGAGTGGCACCACACTCCGGATCAGACAATGGTCCGAAGAGCCGAGAGGGGCATCGACGGAAACCTGATATCCGTCCGGATGAGAGGTCAGCAGAAGGTCCAACAGGGAAGTTGTATGATCCTCCACATCTGGAATCCGCGTAGGCGAAGTAACCAGTTGTGTCAGACCATATGCCAAGGCAAAGTCATAAACAGATCTCCCCGCATGATCGGTTAGACGTGAACCGAGCCATTCGGCATGGTGGGCGTTAAAATCGCCAAGGATCACGATCTCTGCGGATGGGACCTGTTGTAGCAAGAAATCTGTAGCCATTTGAACGTGGTCGATGAGTCGGTCTGTTTCGGCATTACCGCTATGGGACCTATAGAGGCACCTGTAGACGCGCGGATGGTCGTTGCTGTCTTCGCGTAGCCAAAGGATGGACAGGTCCGAACCTTCAAGACTGCCGAGGCGTCGAGAACAGATGTCCTCTCTGACATACACGCAAACTCCAGCCCGAGGCACAAAGGAATGCTCCAATTTGTACCCCGGGTAGAAGAGATACAAAATATCAGCCGGAGAGGAAACCTGCGTCTCGGTCAGAAAGAGCAAGGCCGGCTTCGCCGTCTCGAGATGGTAGTGGACGGCGTTTAGGTTAGAGTGAAGTCCCCTGATGTTGCAGAAATTCACGGATAGCGTGGCAGGGGTCGCCTTGGTGTTCTTGCTCAGTTTGCCCCTAGCAGTAATGCTTTTGAGCGGAATTTTGCCCCCCCCCCCAGAATACGCGGGGCAGCCTGAGCACCCACGCTCAGGATCGGAATAACATGGTCGTGGATGCTCAGCGAGGGATTCTCCAGGGGTGCTGGTACCCTCCTGGGGTAGTTCTTCGTGTAATTCCGCTACCATGTTAATGGCGGGGGGGGGGGGGGGGGAATTGGGCCTCCGGCCACCTGCACTCACCAGACGAAACGCAGAAGCAAAGCTTCTACTTCACGCCGGTATTCTGTGAGGTCGTGGTACCAAAAGGATATTCAGGACAGACCAGCTCAGCAATGAATGGAAGGACAGCCTACAACATGCACAGCAGGAAGATTCGGACATTAAGCCGATTCTGGAATGGATGAAGGCCAGTGCTCCTAAGCCCAAGTGGAGCGACGTCTCAGCAATGAGTTCGACCACGAAAAGCTATTGGGCCCAATGGGACAGCTTGCTGATTCAGGATGGAATCCTGTGCCGCAAATGGGAAAATGGTCGGGGAGACAGATGTCATTTGCAAATGGTTGTCCCTAAGGCAAAAGTACCGGATGTTCTACAGCTGTACCATAGTTGTTGTTCAGGAGGCCACCTGGGAGTTAAACGAACTCTCCTGAAGATCCGAGAACGGTTTTACTGGGTCCACTGTCGTGACGATGTCGAGGACTGGTGCCGCAAATGTACAAGTTGTGCGGCTGTAAAGGGACCTCAAATTCGTAGTAGAGGCGCATTGAAATTGTACAATGTTGGTGCACCATGGGAGAGGATAGCCATTGACGTTGCGGGGCCGTTTCCAGAAACTGAAAGTGGTAACAAGTATTTCATGGTTGTGATGGATTACTTCACTAAGTGGCCAGAAGTCTTCGCCATTCCAAATCAAGAAGCTTCAACAATTGCAGATAAACTAGTTCATGAAGTCTTCTGTCGTTTTGGAGTACCTTTAGAGATTCACAGCGATCTAGGAAGGAATTTCGAGTCTCAAATATTCCAGGAAACTTGCAGAGTTATGGGTACTCATAAAACACAAACAACTGCTTACCACCCACAATCTGATGGAATGGTAGAACGATTTAATCAGACATTGGAAAGGTACCTGGCAAAAGTTCTGAAAAACGGCAACGAGACTGGGACAGGCACATACAACCGTTTTTGTTGTCATATCGAAGCGCTGTTCACGAAAGTACGTCAGTGACGCCAGCTTTCGCAAACTTTGGGAGAGAATTACGGCTGCCTGCAGACCTGATCACCGGAATACCACCTGATGCTCCACGCAGTATAACCGATTATGCAAATGATTTGCGGAACAAAATGAATGACATTTATGAACACGTCAGACAGACGGGCCAGCAAACGTCTGAGAAGATGAAAACACGGTATGACCGCAAAATGAACAACAAGGGGTTTGATGAAGGTTCACTAGTGTGGTTACACAATCCAGTTCGCAGCAAAGGGAAATCTCCTAAGCTTCAAGCTAAATGGGAAGGACCGTACCGGATTGTGACAAGGATCAATGATGTAACCTACCGGATACAGAAAGGTGCCAGAGGTACTCCTAAGATTGTCCATGTGGATCGACTGGCGCGTTATTATGGGGCCAATAATGCTCGGGACGAACATGTCTTAGGAGGGGGCAGTGTTGCGCGCCACTATTAATGTCTTGTACATGGCAACACTAGTTACACTAGTGCCCTCTAGTGTCTAGTAAATGAAAGCATTGCGCGCCACTATTAATGTCTTGTACATGGCAACACTAGTTACACTAGCGCCCTCTAGTGTCGAGTAGCAGAACTAGGAGAGTCAAGATCCTTCCAGAAATTTCGGGACCGATATTTACTCGAACATTCTAGATGTCGCTACAGTAGAAGATTCTGGAAACTATCTGAGGCCCTATATAAGGCCGGTATAGACCACGACCGAGGCAGTATTGAATTGGCGATACAAGAGAATACTTCGAAGCGAAATAACGGCGAACTGTGTTTTATTATTAGTGTGATTTTAGATTGTAATTAGTGTTGTGTAATTAAAGTGTCAATTTTGGTAATTCAATCGGCAGTTTTTAATTGTCTCGAACCCCAAGCTCGTAACAATATATATATATATATATATATATATATATATATATATATATATATATATATATATATATAAGCTTACGCTTGTTGTACTTGTCTTTATGTACTTCTCCCAGTCATTCATGAACAATAGAGAAAAACAAATAAACGTATTAAAAAATGGGACTTCAGAAGAACAATTTCACATATACTGAAATCGGTGCGAAGACATAATATATTGATTCCCATGCCCCAGACTCAAAACATTAATCAATTAAAAAAATTAAATGTTGGTTCATACTTTTTATTAAAATTATATTTTTTTTATACCTGGACTAAGCTTTTTAAAACTCAAGGTACCAACTAAACACCCATCTTGTATTGTATAATTGTTAAAATAAAAATTATCCCCTAGTTTATTCAATCTTCATAGTGTACAGTTTTCAACCTGAATGTATAACTTGCCTACCTATGCAATAAAAAATAATTATTTAAATCAGTCCAGCCTATTTCCAAAAACTTTTGAACATACACCACCTCGATTTTTGAAGTCTTATACAGAGATTTTTTTATCACAAATAAAATAATACATGTCCCTTATACTTCATTATTATGGAGAATACAACATTACGTTTACTGCACTATGAAGGATTATTCTATAATATATTATGCTATATTATGATGGATTATTGAAATCCATCATAGTGCATTTCGGGACAAATAATCGGATCATATTTATGCATGCTCTGTGCTTCTCTTCATCTTAATCACGATATTATGCAACTGGTCATTTATAATTAAATGAATATCCTTCCGTATAAACACGGTCATTCCTGGTTACTTCAGCTTTTTATCTTCAGCTTCAGCTTATTATGGTTGCAGCGCCAATTTTTCAACTCGACTGGGGAACTACCTTCGTTCAGAATATTGGCGTGGGATAGCACCATAATACTACTGTGTTTTGTTTGGTTAGTGACAAGAACTGGCGACCCTTTCTTCTAGTAAAAAGGCATCCTATCTTAGTGCTCGTGGATGACCACGCGTCTTCGTCTATGGGTCTCATCATTCACTCTTTCTTCAATAAAAATACAAGAGTTCCTTATTTTCTAGCAAGAGAGGTAGTCAAGTAACGATGTATAGAGATGTATATAGCATAGACCACTTTTCATTCATTAGAGAGTAATAGAAAAAAAGAAGGAAAGAGCTACAGTGCTACTCCAATACATTACTTATTTTTTACATTATCATTACATGCCCCGAAGGAATGCCAACGCCAATCATTACATATCTAGAAAACGCAATAATCTAAATCTAAGCTAATAATTATTATAAAGAAATCAAATATTTTTTGTATTATTATTTGTAATGGATAAACTCTAAAACTACTTAACCAATTTCAATATCAGCGAGTAACATGTTACGTACCTATTACGAGGCTATATTTTATGTGAAAATAGGAATCCCTAAGGAAATTCTAATATTGTATCCCAAGGAAGGTATCAAAAAATTACGTGCGCTGCGACAACTACTGATGGTAACATAAATAATATAGTAGGTATTTATGTAACTTGTCAATATCTACAAAAAAGTCCGCGAGACATGTCCAATGTAAATGTAGTTAAAACAATGACAGTCCATGTGTTTTAAAATATAATAAAATCACTGGTAAATTTGCATCATGGTATCAACCCTAATCCAGATAAATAATTTCACAATCAATATATCTTAATAGAATATAACTAAATTAATTATTCCGTCCTAGCCCTCAAGGTTGGCAACTGATGAAAATCGAAAATATCAAATAAAACGTACAATGATAAAAATCTTAGATTAATTTTCCGATTCTGAGAGTCACAATAATTACTGTCTACCTCACGTCTGAGCAAATATCGTAGGTACAGAATGTTCTGAATATCTCTCAACTCAATTGCCACCTGATTAAGTTCGCTTGGTCTAATTGAAATGTGCTGTATTGTGTGGAAACGTCACCATTGTGCAAACAAACGTAGTTTACCAGTTCAATTCTTTTAAATTCGATTAAATGTCCACATTAAATGTCAATAGTGAACACAGTAATTTAACCGAATTCAAAAATATCAGCATTTTCTCGATTCGTCTGTATAATATATTTTAAGGTTTTTCGGGCGAAACTTCTGTTTTATGAACTGATTTAAATTTTTGATTTTAACTGTTATAAATTTTAAAGGTTTAAGTTGTAATGTTTGATTTTTCTGTTATTAAAAAGGCTGCAAAGGTGATCAAATATAAATTTTAAGAAATAAATGCATCTATTTAAGAGTAGTTGTTTATTTTAACATTCTAGTTGTTACCTTGAACTTGTGATATTCTTGTGTCCACCCAAAAGTTAACCGTTAAAAGTTAACCAAATTGTTAACCTTTAACCGCTACACCAATACTACAGGGTATTTTACAATTATTTAATGAGTAATATTATATAACTATAACAAATTTAAATATCAGATCAAATTCAAAATGGTATTCTTATTTCTATATATTATTGGTAAGACTACTGGGAATACTCGGTTTTTTTTTCTTTAAATTTATAATCAGCTAGGTATATTAAAAACAGCAGTGAAACGACCATAGCATGTAGCATTACTATTTTAATTATCATTCATTTATCAAAAGCCTATCACAAGTCCACTGCTCAACATCGCCCTTCCCATAGATTGCGTCCATTGGACAGGTTTCCGCAGTTTTTTTTTTTATTAAGTTTTTGTTAGGAATATTAATTCTATTCATTTCCTCTGTCGATTCATACAAGTGTTTTGACTTACTGCTACTACGAGGTTTACTTTTTTACTATTACTTAAAGTTACAGCCTATTTACGTCCCACTGCTGGGCACAGGCCTCCTCTCATTTCTGAAAGGGTTTTAGGGCAAGGAAATGTCCGCCGCGCTGCCCCAATGAGTGTTGGCGAACTTCACATATCTTCGAAATAAATTTTTTCTTATTTCTCAGACATACAGGTTTCCTCACGATGTTTTCCTTCACCACCGAGCGCGTGGTAAATGAGCACTTAAAATTGAAATTAACAATTTCATTGGTGCCGGCGGGGATCGAACCCGGGTTGCTCGAGTACTGTGAAGCTTACAGCGAGCGCTAACCATCTGAGCTACCACGGCTCTTTTACTATTACATAATAAAAGACAATTAAATACAACAAGTTAGATGCCGCTTTTTAAAAGGTAATATTTCATAAAGTTTCAAAGGGCTGGCCATATATCTCAAGCAATCGACAACCGACAAAAAAGAAAGATTCTCGAGTGGCAGCCTGGTACCGGTAAACTAAGTGTAGAACGTCCCGCCAGTCACTAAATGGAGTGACGACCTGGTGACACATGGAGGAAATCGATGGTTGTTAGGTGGCTCATTACTATGCCTGGAAGGTCTATGTTCGGAATTTGCCTTGTGATGGACCGTAATAACTGATAATTATAATATAATGAATAATGATTACATTCATTTTTTAAAATATTTATTTATGTCATTTAACCCAACGTACATATATTTCAATAAGTTATAAAAACTAAAACCTAAACTGAAATATTTAATGAGGTATACTTCTTGTATTTACTAAACACAAGATTAAATTATGGAGTATAAAGCGCGCTAGCTCCTTATACCGAAATATAGAATAATGAGTTACGTCAAAGGGAACGGGTGTAAATGCTTCTATTTCTGATTTGAGCTTTTTATTACACTACGGTGCAAAATCTTGAGACAAATGTTTGTGTGAGCTGCAGCTTGTTCTAATTTCGGTATCATTAGGATTTACTTGAATATGTCTAGCTGGAAAATTGCAGATATTTTTTTATTTGATTGTTACCACTTTCGTATATTTAGGAAAAACTTGGATTTATTTAATCAAATTAAAATAAGGGAACCTAAAAAAAGATATTTTAGATAATCATCTTTCTCGTTTGTTATTTATCTCCCTTTCACAATTTACTCATATTGTCTCATACATCAAAAATTATTGCAATCGTGACAATTGACCTCGATAGTAAAACTTTTTTTCAGTATTAAATTTGTACATATATTCAGATATTATTTCTAACAGATCTACTCAGACAATTCTTTTGATGATCTCAATTATGGTGGATGACAGGAATTTTA